GTCTCAACACCTTGGGCTGTCCTCAACTGCTTTCCCAGTTCACAAGCAGAGAGCTGGATGGGAAGTAAGACCGCAGGGATTAGAACCTGTGCCCGTATGGGATGCTGGTGTGTTCAAGCCAAGGATTTTAGCCGCTACTGTTGTGCAGTGCTCAATTACTCTTAGTTAATGGATCGTGTTTTTGTTGTCATAGAAAAGATTTTCTTTCCCAAAATCACAAACACTTGGTCCTAGTTTTCTCTGAGAAGCTTTGTGTAGTTCTTATACAACTCATTTGGGTTCATGATCCATTTTTAGTTAATTTTAAGATATGGGCTGAAGTTTACTGCTTACAAGTATTGTATATTCCTAATACCATTTGTTGTAAAGATTTCTTTCTCCCACTGAACTGCTTGGAGATTGTGGTTGAAAAAAATCAAGCCTTTGGACTTCTTCTGTTCCATTGAACCATATGCCTGTGTGCTAATATCACAGCTTCTGAGTTACTGCAGCTATACAATGTATTTTGATCTTGAATCAAGATGGCAGAATAAGGTAAGGACACAGTTAAACAGATGGAGAAACACTTACTCAGGATGAAGCAGAGAGGAAACATTCCAGAAAATAGGAGAGGGCAGAACAACCTGGAGACTGACAGACACAGGCAGGCAGCAAAAACAATGGTGAGGTGTGGCAGTGACTGATACACCAGCAGCATTCAGCTAACGGTGATCTTAACTCCACCAGCAGCTGGAACTCCACCAGCAACCAGGTAAGAAGAGACTTTCACTGGAAGCTTCAGAGGTGAACCCAGAGACAACGAATGGTCCGTCCTGCTGGTCTGTTTGATTTGACCAGGAGCAGAGACAGAGTGGCAAATCTCAGATGGGCAGTATGAGAACAGGGTGGATTTCACAGCCCAGTCAGCCCCCTAGAGCCGGACTGGGCGCCATTGTGCGTAAGGAGGCAAAGGCAAGGAAAAGGACTGAGCACACGCTGAGCTGGGAGTGAACTCTTTTCTGACTCAATGAACTGCAGCAACATGGCATTCTACAGGTTCCACCCAAGACAGGTCTGGGTAGCCCTCAGATCTGATGGCCAGCATGTCAAGAACTCTAGTAGTGGCATGTCAAGCGGCATTTTGCACAGTGTGGCAAACGTTTTAGGACTGGAGGGCACAACAGTGAACTGCGCATGTGCTGAGCTCGCAAGAGTTCAGTGGATTGCACTGGTCCCACAGGAAAAAAATACCAGCTGTGGCAACATATGGGTCAAAATAGGTTCATGTGGCACCAGACCTAATGACAAACAGGTTCCAACAAGATCAGCACCATCAACAACCTAGCTATATAGCACACCCAACTGTCTCCCTAATCCTGGGACCTGCCTGCTCCAACCAGAAGTGGGAGAAAGGTTGCAGAGACAATGGTGCAGCCTCAACACGGTATCACAGGAGGAGGAGACTGGTGAGTCAGGAGCTGGGGCTACAGAGACCATCGTGGAAATCTAACATAAGAACCCAGACCTGGAACTCACTGGAGGGAGTGGCACAAGTGGCTGCAAGCAAAGAGCTGCGTACCAACTGCAATAAGTGAAATCGTACTGAGACCTGTGGGTGACACAGCTTAGAAACCTGCCCCAAGGAGAAGAATCTGCTACCCAGAAGTACAATGACCGAAAGCAAAAGAAGAGACAGAGGCACAACGAATATTACTGAAGACTTCCTGTAAAGGAGCAAAAGCTTTTGCCAACCTCAGAGTTCAGTGAGGAAGACATCGAGAAAATGGGGGACACAGAATTCAGAAAATTCATTATACAGCTTCTGATGAACAATGAGAAGCACATACAAGAGTTCAAATAATTTAAGGAATATGTCACACAGGAAATAGCACCAATAAAGCAAATCAAGGCTGATATATCAGAAATTAAGAGCAGCAGTAGGTCAAATTAAAAGTACAGTGGAGAGTCTCCAAAATAGAATGAAGGAGGCAGAAGAATCTCAAAAATAGAAGATATTTCCTGTCACCAGGGAGAAGCAAACAAAAAGCTGGAAGCAGAGTTGGATCAGGCCAAAAAAAGTATTCAAGAATTGAAAGACACTATTAAGAGGCCTAATATAAGAGTCATGGGAGTCCCAGAAGGTGCAGAAAGAGAAATTAATGAAATAAATTGTCAGCCCAGGATAACAATTCCAGCAAAGCTTTCTATTGTCTTTGAAAATGAAATAAAATAAAATTATTTAACAGTAAAGAAAAGTTAACCTGCCCAAACCTGCCCTACAAATGATAAAGATGTTCTCTTGACAGAGAAGAGGAACAGCACCCACCAAAACCAAAGGCAAATGGGAAGAACATCCCAGCAAAATGACAACAGAAGACTAAATCAATGAACAACTCATTCCTAAACTGACAAGACCAAATTACCACCCATACATATTAACCCTGAGTGTAAATGGCTTAAACTCAATGAAACGTCATAGAATAGTAGACTGGATTAAAAAACAAAACCCATCTATTTTTTGCCTACAGAAGACACATTCACCAACAAAAATCAGCAGAAACTATATCTCATGGATTTTGATTCTTTTGTTTTTTGTTAGTTTCATCTCTACAAAGCAGTTTCTTCTGACTAAATTCTTGAATGACTCATAGATCATAAAGAAGCATCATTTTCTTCAAGAAGGTTCTTGATTTTCATTTCTTCAGCGACACATAAGTCATTCAGTAGCATGTTATTTAACTTCATGGTGTTGTTAATTTCCTTTTTCTTCCTGTTTTTATTTTTATTTTTATTTTCATTGGAAAGGCGGATATGCAGAGAGGAGAGACAGAGAGGAAGATCTTCCGTCAGATGATTCACTCCCCAAGTGAGCCACAATGGCTGATGCTATGCCGATCCGAAGCCAGGAGCCTCTTCCAGGTCTCCCACATGGGTGCAGGGTCCCAAAGCTTTGGGCCGTCCTCGACTGCTTTCCTGGGCCACAGGCAGGGAGCTGGAAGGGAAGCGGGGCTGCCGGGATTAGAACCGGCGCCCACATGTGATCCCGGGCTTGCAAGGCGAGGACCTTAACCACTGTGCCACAGCGCCAGGACCTTTCTTCCTGTTGTTGATTCTGTTTTGTGTCGTTTCATTTAAAGGGATGTACAGTAGCTGTGTAATGGAGACTGTCATACCTAGTAACATGTTATTTAACCTCATGGCGCTGTAAATGTCTGTTTTTCTTCCTATTGTTGATTCTGTACTGTGGCTTTTCATTTAAGGGGATGTACAGTAACTGTGAAATGGAGACTAACATATCCAGATGTGAGGATACAATGTAGTATGCATCTTTACTTCCAAAGAAGGACTCCCAATGAAAATGTTTACTATATCTTGACAATAGGATGCTGGACTCTCTGCCATTGTCCATGCCTGCAATGATGGACATACGACTGTGTATGAAGAACTATACTTTAGTAAGGATATAGAAGAACTATGTGGGGGAGGGGTTTGGGAAGAGGATAAGGGAAATCCCAGAGCCTATGAAACTGTATCATAAAATGATAATAATAATAAATAAATATTTTTAAAAAGAAAAAACTATATATTTTGATCTGGTCATATGTGTCCTCCAGTGTTGTTCTCAATTTTCAAGACTGTGTTGGTTCCTTTCCATATACATTATATGGTCAGCAGAGTGAGAATGGGCAAGCACATAGTTATGGAAATCAGTAACTGTTTTCACATGTCAGAGGTTCAGGAACATGTGCCTTCTTTATATGTTAAGCTTCTAATAGTATAATATTTGTAGAATATCCATATGCATCTATTGTTGTTGCTAAACTCTACAAGTGCCCCTAAAGACTTGCCTTATGTTTTTCCATAATGTCTGCTCAGATTATAAGCACATATGATTATTTCTTCAAGAAAGGAAAACATGGGGTAAACAGTATGAACCTAAAGGGGTGAAAAACACTCAGAATTGCAGGATGAAACACTTCCCCTGAGGTGCTATCTGTTACCCAGGCAAGGAGAAAACTTTTTGTAGCACAACAAAATGAAATGATGAGAAACAAGTCATAAATGAGTAATGTGAAGGTAGCATTATTTTGTTACAAGGTTCACTACACATGTGTCTCTTGCATGATTACATAAGCTGCAGAATCACATAGCTATTTGTAAAATATATTTGTTAAAGAATATTCTTTATTGTTAAAAACCTGTCAATGTGCCTGAAACCATGATTTAAATCTTGTGTGATGAGAATCTACATCCCATTTGACCAAACACAGCCTTTGGGTTACTGATCTGTGGTTGGGAAAAAGAAAGAGGACATTTAGGTTGTCCTTTCTCTTTGCTTCCACATCATCACTCTTAGGGCGTGCCATCAGCTGACACAGGGAAAAGACAAGAAGAAGACAGGATAAGATTGTTCTGGTTAATTGTGCTTCTTCGCACCTCATTCCCACTCTGGATGTTCCAAGCAAGTTGTACCTGGGGTGGAGAGCCTGGGATCCCTTGGTGTCTTGCCCAGTGGACCTGCTCACCTTGCCTTCACTCAGGCCTGATCCCTCGTGTCCTCAAAGACCCTGTGCCTATGGGGTATCGCGAAGATTCCATGCCAACGAGGTAGCAAGGAACAGCAGGGCACATGACTGTTGGTGGCTCTCACACACATGCAGCAGCCTCTAAAGAGACTTTATAAACACTACAAAGAGGAAGCTATTAGCAAGTTCAAGATGGTGACAGCAAAACATTAAGGAACACACAGGGTCCTTCCTGACTGACTACGCAGGTTCCACGTCCTTGTGGCCAGCAATGGTTTCTTTTCCCTACACTAACTATGAAGCACTTCATGACTGATAGTCTGCACAAGGTTCATTTATACCCTCACTGCGGTAACATACTGGTTACACCCCAAGTTTAGGGTGTAACCACCTCTGCCTGGCATTTTGTGATGTTTCTTCTTTTGTGTGATATTGAACAATTTACTTTGCCTTTCTTCACCTCAATTTCCTTAAATGTAAAAACACAGGTGGATGATACCTGGAAGAGGAGATACCATGATCACAAAAGTGGTTTCCCCAGGGCAAGGCTTATCCACTGCACTCCGGATGCGGACGCGCTGACCCCCGCAACTTCCCCAAATGTGGGAAACTCAGCTGCATAGTTTGTGGTAGTGGGGGACTGTATTCCCGCTCTCGCCTGTAAATAAATAAATAAATAAACAAATCACAGCTTGATAACAGCATCTGCTTCAATAGAAGGCACAGTTGTGGCCACTTCTTGCAATGAACAAAGAAGTGCCTGGAACAAAATGAGTGGGGGGTTTTTATAGCAAGTATCTATGGGAGAATAAATAGTTACATGACAGTGAACAAGTATGCATTGAGAGGCATTTTAAGTGACACAGAGCAGAAAGCAGGCAATAAAGATTTACAGTGCATAGGCTCGGGATTCTGATCCTATCACTTCAATGCAGACAGTAGTAAAACAGCATGCCTCAGGGGGAGCTGTCCTTCCCACAGATCTTTAAAACTCCAAGATCCTACCTAACTCGTCTGCTTCCTGGTGTTGGAAGGAGCAGAGTTCTCTCCTAACAGGGTGCAGGCGTTTCTTTAGAGATTCCAGACTTCCAGGGATACAGTTACCTTTACAATTAAGCCTTCCACACAGTGCAATTGTGGAGAGCAGGGGCAACAAACATCCGGTTCTAGGAGTTCTGCAGCACACCGAATTGCTCAGAGATGGTGGCCACTTTTATTTCCCAAGAGGAAGAATGACTTTGATCAGCGCATTGTGACCTGTTCTTGCAGGATAGTTTCTGAGATATCAGGATGGGAGAAATGGCAGCGAGGTGCAGGAAATTGAATGCACGTGTCATGCAGCAGCTTGGGCAAGTCACCTTCACTCTGCAAGGATGGATCCTCTGGCCAGAGAAGAGTAAAGGTATTACCCATCATCAAACTAGAGGGAGATTTTAATGAAATGGCACACATAAAAGTGTCCTGCAGTGAAATTAAGAGATGGTAAAAATACATATGAAAAATAAACTCCAGAACCCAGCACCTACAGCCTATTGGCTAAAATCCTAGCCTTGCATGCGCCAGGATCCTCTATCTGCCCTGGTTTGTGTCCCACCTGCTCCACTTCCCATCCAGTTCCCTGTTTGCGGCCTATGAAAGCAGTAGAGGATGGCCCAAAGCCTTGGGACTCTGCACCTGCCTAGAAGACCTGTAAGAAGCTCCCGGCTCCTGGAGCCTGATGGGAAGTGGGGTCTCTGGGATTAGATCTGGCATCTATATGGGTTCCCAACAAGTGTAAGGGGAGGACTTTAGCCACTAGGCTACCACGCTGGATCCAGGTGTTTGCTGCATGCATAGGAAAAGTGCATTGGGAAATCGCCTTTATCACTGTGTAAATGGTTGCTCTAAACCCAAAGGCTAGAAAAGCTAACCTTCCTCAGGTAACAGCATTCCGGCATCAGCAGAAGCAATATGTTTTCATTCCAAACTTTTTGGGAAAGTTCTGAAAAAAAAAAGTGATATCTTAAATTAATACTTTATTAGACTTCTTTGTTGACTTTTTAACCTTAGCAGGTTAGCTAGGATGATACATGTTGTTTCATAACTTCTTCAATCTTACCTTTAACATTTCCCTTCATGTCAGTAAGTAGTTTTAACATCCTTTCTTAAAAAACAAAAACAAGAGAAACCAAACTGCTGTAAGAATCTCATTTTAGCTAGATACCGACTTCCATCTATTTCCTTTTAGTCAGACCTTGCAGTGAGTCCCTGGTCTGGGGTTACCATAATTACACCACAATAAATATCCGGGCATAGAGATAACTGCGCTTCTTTCCTATAACTTCTCCAGTATCAATTCCTAGAAGTTGGATTTTCCTGGTCAAAGTCTAGGAAAACAATTTAAACCGCGCTTTGTATCTACCGCCAAATGGCCTTCCAGAAATACTTTCCCTCTCACTCGCAGCATATGAAAGAGATGAAGTGTGCTGAACATAAAATAAACAAACAATGTAAGAAAGCACGTGCATGTGAGGATAGTGTCAGGGGCTTGGGAGGCCCTGCTGGGAGCGAGCGGCGCCTCCCCTGGGTGGGACCCCTCCTGGCAGACGCGGCTGTATTGCTTGCGCTGTCCTCCTTCTCGCCCCTCCTCCTGCAGGACAGGCAGTCCTTCCTGCAGGTTACCTTCCTGGGTGTCCCACCTGGCCTTAAACTCAGGCTACATGGAACTCAGTAGTTAACCTGTGACCCTAGCTGAGGAAGGGAGGCTGCCGTCTTCAGGAGTCCACAGACACCCTTAACCTCAGCAAGATACTGTTTATTTATTTATTAAAGATTTATTTATTTTATTGGAAAGGCAGATATACAGAGAGGAGGAGAGACAAAGAGAAAAATCTTCCGTCCAATGAATCACTCTCCAAGTGACTGCAATGGCCGGTGCTGCGCTGATCCGAAGCCAGGAGCCAGGAACTTCTTTCCAGGTCTCCCATGCGGGTGGAGGGTCCTAAGGCTTTGGGCCATCCTCAACTGCTTTCCCAGGCCACAAGCAGGGAGCTGGATGGGAAGTGGAGCTGCTGGGATGAGAACCGATGCCCATATGGGATCCCAGCGTGTTCAAGGCTTGGACCTTAACCATTACACTAGCACACCGGGCCCGAGATACTCTGGCAAGAGGAAAACAGAAACCCCACTTCACCTAATGGAAGGGGATGCAGGGAACTGTGGCTAGCAACTTTCTCTCTTTAATCCTTGTTTCCTCCTTTCCGCAAACGGGACACAGTGTAATTTAGGCTTGTGCAAGAAGGAGACATATTTGCTTCCTATGAGGCATATTACAAGTGCTATATAGTTTTAAAAAAGGGTTAATCATTGAATGGCCTGTCTGGAAACACAAGTACAGAATCTAAAGCAAGTTGAGCCACTGTTTTCAGAGGAATTGAACTTCTGCTGTTGTTCTTCCACCAGCTACATTCCCCAAATCTAAGAAGCAAACTGTTGCTGAAGTACCACTGGTGACTCAGGAAAGATGCTTCCAAGTGTGCTGTGACAAAGGATTTCTGATCATGGATGGCATCCGAATGCAGAGCCGTGTAAACGGGTAGATGAGGGTTTGTTGGGCTTTTGCAGATAATCTCTGTGACTCTTGGACCCTGACCAGGCAGAGATCAGGGGAAGGAGACTGGGTACAGGCGGGCCGAGAAAACCCAGGATGCATAGCCCAGACAAGAGGATGGCCATGGACAACCGGAGTGGGTATTACTTTGTAAGTGTCAGGGTCTGGAACTGTGTGAAGCTACTGCAGAACTTCTGAGGAAATGGAGTTAAAACTTCAGGGACAGACACTGGGCACAGTCGTTAGGCTGCTCCTCCCTGCATCCTATATCAGGATTCAAATCCTGACTCTGCTTCTGCTGCAAGATTCCTGCTAATGCACACCCTGGGATGCAGCAGGTGGGGCCCACGACTCACAGGAGAGAGCTGGATTAAGCTCCCAGCTGCTGTTTTTGAGAAATAATGAGGACCTGGCACGATGGCTCAACAGCTAAATAAATCCTCATCTTGCAAGTGCCGGGATCCCATTTGGGCGCTGGTTTGTGTCCCAGTGCCCCTGCTTCCCATCCAGCTTCCTGCTTGTGGCCTGGGAAAGCAGTCAAGGGGTCCTGCACCTGCATGGGAGACTCCTGGTTTCAGATCAGCTCAATTCCAGCCATTGCAGTCATTGGAATGGGTGAACCAGTGGATGGAGGTCTTTCTCCCTGTCTCTTCTTCTTTCTGTAAATCTGGTCTGCTTTTCCAATAATGGTAAATAAATCTTAAAGAGAGAGAGAGAAAGGAAGAAAGAAAATGAATGAAACATTTTGCCTTATCCTAGCAAGTATAAATGCTATGAATATATCACTTAGCTTTGTAAGATCATTATTTTTTCCATGTTTGATTTTTTTTTTAAAGACAGTCATAGAAGGCCCTTGCACACACGTGGGAGACCCAAAAAGAAGCTCCTGGTTCCTGGCTATGGACTGACTCAGCTCTGGCCATTGCAGCCATTTGGGGAGTGAACCAGTGAACAGACGAGCTCTCTCTCTGACTCTCCTTTGTTCTTTGTAAATTCTTCCTCTCAAATAAAAATAAATTAAAAAAAAAAAAGACAGCCATAGAAATTCAGTTATTTTCTAACTTCTGCTATTTTATTTCCTCTTATTTTTCTTTGAGCAGACTCAGAGTTGAAGACTAAGCATTTCAAGACACAAACTAGTCTCCAAGTGTTGCTTTAGCTAAACCCTACAAGTTTCTTCTTAACGTTTAAAACTGTGTTTGTTTGTTCATGAGGGGTCACTCCCATCTCCTGGGTTAGTCACCAAGTATCCACAGTGGCTGGCTGAAGCCAGGAGCCGGATACTTCACTTACGTCTCCCACATAGGCAGCAGGTGTTCAACCATGATCTGCTGCCTCACAGGGTATGTATTAGCAGAAAAATGGAATGAGAGGCACAGCCAGCACTAAACTTAGGCATCCCAACTTAAACCTCTAGACCAATTATCCTTGTGGCTTACACCCGCCATTTTTATTATTAATTACTTTTCTTGGCATTGTTCCTAACTATTTTCAGATTCCCCTTATGACTTCTTTCTTTATCCATAAGCTATTGAGGAGCAGACTTTAAAATTTCAAATGTGGGGGCCAGAGTTGTGGCATAGTAGGTAAAGCTACCAACTGTGACACTAGCAACCCATATGGGCACCAGTTTGTGTCCTGGGAAAGCATTAGAGGTCGGCTCAAAGCCTTGGGACCCTGCACCGTGTGGGAGACCCAGAAGAAGCTCCTGGCTCCTGACTTCAGATTGCCTCAGCTTCAACCACGGTGGCTGTTTGGGGAATGAACCAGCAGATAGAGATCATCCTCTCTATCTCTCCTTATCTGCATAAATCTGATCTGCCTTTTCAATAAAAATAAGTATTTTTTTAAAAAAAGAAAACAAATTTCATAATTGAAAATAAATGATAATGAAATGAAATATTCCCTAGATGGGGCCAATAGTCGATTTCATATATTTGAGAAGATGAAGAATCTCCATAAATTCGAGGCTGGACTAATAGTGATTCTCTGGTTTGAGACAAAGAAAAGATGGAAAAAATATAGACCAAGTTTCAGAAACCTATAAGATAAAATCAGGGGTAGTGGGCCAG